GATGTTGTTTAGGCTTCAGGAATTTTGGCGAAATTAGATCCCTGCCAGTGTTTTCGCATCTGAGGTTGCCCACCTCCAGTGATCCACTGCTTACAAAATGCAAGCTCCGGTGGATCATGGAGGGGTGCGTGAGCATATACATATATTTATATATATATATATGTATATATACGCACACATATAGATACAAACAATATATATATATATACATACATAAGAGCGAGAAAGAGAGAGAGAGAGAGAGAGAAAGGGAAACTAGGTATGCCCCCAAGTCTTTGTTTAAAGCTTTTGTTTCCAAACAGGCCATTGTTTTGAAATGCGCGCTTAGTTTCAAAACATCCGCTTCCTAGAAGGCTAAAAATCAAGCTTACTAAACACAGCCAAAAATCGAAGAAGCCAAAAAATCAACCAAACAACAGTCTCCTGGACAATTGTGTTTTATGTCTCTGTTGGTTCTCTCGACAATACCTGCCCACACTCTAGTCCTTGGTTTCCCGCGCGGAGCTGCTTGCCCACAGAGGGTTGGAGGTTTCTTCCAACCTCCAAAATTCTGATGACTGCTTAGGAAACCTAGCCAACGCAGCGCAAGGCCTGAACAAATCGCAAAGTGCCCAATGTTCGTGCACGTAGTAATCGAAAGCCAAGATCTGATCCTCAAAAATATTCTCGCTGCATCTACATCTACCTTTCTTATGGATTAGACAACCAGTTGATTTTTAATGATAACTTAGCCATTGTCGTTTATGTGTAACTACTTGTACTTTGTCTAAAGATTCCCAGTTCGCAGAATCGTTTACATATCTATCTATATATACAACTACAGTATAAATATAAATATAAACATCAATATAAATATAAATTATAAGTATAAATTAGAAATATATATATTTATTTATTTTTTTCTTGAATTTGAGTACACAACCAACAAGTAATCTGTATACCCTATGATGTTAGTACGTGGGTAAAATGTTAGTTGATGCTTGACAAATAGTCAACAAATTTGTCTAATGTGTTGCAAATGCCGGGACACGGTGTCACTATACCTTCACACCAACCATGCACCCATTACAGCTTCAGTACGTGTAGCACGTGTTGAACCACAGTATGTACAACGCAATCCAAAGCCGAATTGATCACTAATCAACCAGTTCTCATGTGGCAGAAGCAGGACCTCAGCTACTATCTCACCAATACTCATTCAGCCTAGTGCAAGACTAACAGATATTGATACATGTTTGATCATGTTCTTTTTAAATCATGAACTAGGTTTATTGTTTGGATACTGCCCCCAGTCAGTAACAGTTGAGTAACATTCATATTATGGATATATAAAGCCCTTAATAGTAGCCCTATTATCGACTGTCACTGTATGGGGGCAGTGCCCAATTTGTTGTTTTTGGAGATACGGACCCGAAAAGACATAATAGTTAGGTGATTCTTAATTTCTGGTGATTTTGAGTATCGTTTGCTTCAGCACACAAGAGATAAAGCGGTAACTGCAAATGCAGCGAATCATCGTCTACTACTTACGGCGAAGATGTAATGCATGAACTATACAACCTCAAGATTAGGTGTTTGTATAATTATTTGTTTTCGTGATATAGCTTTCAAGATGATTGAGGTGTCACAACAGCTGTCATACAAATGCTTTTTGCATTGAACTGAATAGTTCCTTACCATCGGTGCAACATTAATTATATATGGTTGGTCTTGTTCTTGAGTTTCAACTACATGTGCATTCTACATTAGTTGCCTGAACAATTACAATACCCATGATGAACATTATATTGAATATGCGATAGCTATGTCACGCTGTAAGCATGTGACAACAGTGTGCCTTTGAATTGTATAGAAGAACAGTATCACAATACCATACCTTCAATGCGAAATACATATTATATTGTTAAGATGGCATAGCAATACAGCTATCTAATTCAATACTGACTAATAGCTAGATATCAAGTGAGTTTTGAAGCGAGCAGAGCTAGTTGCATACTAGTTATAGCACAGATGTAGTACACAAAAACTCTGTAAGTGCTAGGCAAGTATTGGTTCCGCATTCGGATAAAGTTAGTTACATCGCTGTTAAACACTACTTCAACGCACTGAGTATGCATGCAAGTATGTCAACATGTAACAGATTCCACGTGAGTGGCAACTAAAGACATAGTTGTGGTTGAGCAGTGATGAAGAAGCTATGACATGTGCATTGGACGCTGTTTCTCGGATGAACATATATAAGACAGGATGTTGCTACCTGGATTCGCATTTCTTCTTAACGTGCTGCATTGATGGTCTTGCCTTTGCATCAGAAGATGTATTGCGTTCAACATGACACTATACCTCTTGACGTACATAGATAAGCTACCACGGAATTGGACATCCGATTTTGGTGCCGCACTCGTACCTGTATAGCATGTGTGTATATATATATGTATGTATGTATGTATGTATGTATGTATGTATGTATGTATGTATATGTGTATGTATCTATATATATATATGTGTGTGTGTGTTAATGTGTGTTGTTGCACGTTCGGAGACGGTTCAGCAATCCTTGATGGACAGCTAGTTTGCAGACGTTTCATTTCGCTGCCAGGCATTTCATTTCTTCTCTGCTAGCATCAACCTCAAGCCTGACTTCCCATCTTCATACATGCGCCGCTCTCATTTCAGTGGTACCTTACTGCTAGTTGCAAGCCAACACTGCGGACCTGTTCTTTTCCACCATCTTGAAGGTATCTCGCAATCACGCTCTCTCGCTTGGATGACTTCTCAAATGCTTGCAGCGCATATGAGAAGGCCCATCCCTTTATGGGAATGTGGGCAACTCGACAGTATGAACTGTGCGAAGACAGAAAGAAGAGAGAGTCTTCGCCTTGCAGGCAATCGAGATGGACTCCGATCACATGTTTCATTTGAACTTTGCCATTACATTATTTAACCATGGAGATCTGACGGAGGCCCCGTGGTTTGCAGTCGCGACCATACACTCAGGGCCAGACAAGCCCAGCTTCCTGTCCACACAACAGCGTTCGTGAAGTATGCCTCGATCGCGCAGGCCAGAAGACAGTTCGTGCTGTTTAGCGATCTGTTCCAGCAGCTGGACGAAGAGCAAAGAAACTCTGACCCAGAGGTGGGGAGACTGCACTCTACTCTTTGGGGCTGCTCCCTGTCCTAGCTGGTCCTGGTTCTGCGTCAGTATCGCAGGTCAATGAACAACGACAGCTGCTGCAAAGAGTCTTGAACAGTGGCGCTAAATAGTAGTGGTTCAGTAAGTTTGAGATGACAGGCAGGCATTGGATCCTAGAAGAAACAATCAAGTTGTGCATGATTGCTTATGTGATCGAGTCGGACTGCTGGTACACTTCGAATATAGACAGTCGTTTCACATCGCCAGAAGCTCTGATGATGCGCAGGCACCAAAATCACACTGGTCTGCACAAAATCTGATGTTTGGTATTTCAGATTCTCGAAGGAGAGCTGTGACCGTCGAAGGCTTCCTGGTGCATGACAGCCGACATGATATCGTCAGTTTTGAATCTTCCTGACAAGGGGCGACGCATGCCTTCGTCGACCTAAAATCATGGGCAGGCTGCCAACATCATTTTCCCACTTGTCACGGCAGACTGCTGCTTTGCAAAGTGTGGTCTCAAGGGGGAGGGGATTGAAATCTAGGAAGACCAGCACAGATATGCGTGATACTATTCACTACCGCCCCCGTCTAGTTGTAGAGTGCTCGCACCTCGACTGGCAAGACTCATGAAAAAACAAACTGAATATGAGCATCAACGGCAAACAATTCGAAGATCCACCTAATGCTACTTCCTTGCACGTGCTTGCACCCCAAGCAAGCGTGAGAACTTGCCGTTGCCGCCCACCGCCGCCACGCCACGCTATCACCATAACGATTTTCACTTTTGGTTCTGTAAGTAAGGACAAAGACTGCCGCCTCTTCGGATCTGCCTGGCAAAGATAGGGCAGAATGGACAGTAGTCGACTTGTAGTGGATGAACATCGCCAAAAACCTCGGGCTGAAAGTGGGTCGGTGCTGCCGCCAAGACACGACCTGCGGACTCTGCGGCGAGGGCGAGCCCGAAGAGAATTTACAGCCTGCTTCCACCAGTATGTTTGTCCAACATTTATAATATTTCCTGACTTCTGGAATAGTCTGAGCCTTTGCGGGCATTCCCCATCAGGCGAGTTACTGCCACTTTGCGAAAGCATTTCGACTTCAGCCTGCTGCCTGCATTGTTGCGACGAAGGAACGCAGAGGTTCGGTGAGCTGCAGTAACAGAAGGAAAGAAGACATGCACAGCTTAGCATGCATTATCAGTGTGACTAATTATAACCAGTACTTGACTTGTACGCGGGCTGGCATCATGGTTACCCCCACGTTTGGTCAAGGTCTGGTGTTGATGGGAGGACCAGTCGTAGCAGTCATTGACTTGAACTTGCGATATAGAATAGCAGCCCTCGACGCCCTGCCAGCGTTGCCGACAGCGAAACAGAAGGACAATCATGCCTCGAGGCCAAGGCAGCCAGAAAGGCATAATCGCAACAGCCACCAAGTCAGACACACAGTCAGTGCAGCCTGAGGGATGCTCCATTGACTCAATCCGACATTGGCATGTCTTCGCAAGGCTTTCGCACGCTGACTTGGGGGGTATAAGTTCAGACCTTTCCAAGCAAGTTTCATCACATTGGCTCCCTCAAGCTTAGCGGACCATGGTAGGAAGTTGCGTCGGTTGCAAAGTTGCCTAGGGGTGTATGCCGAAATCGTGAAAGGTGCCAAGTGCTGCGAGGTAAGCTTATGTACCTGCTGATTGCATTAAGAAAATCGAATCGTCGTAGATTTAATAATTCGCTATTTGCACCTAGCAGCTGGGCTGCGTGCATGCTGCGATGAGGCTCGCTCCCACAAAGATGTCTTCTTGCGATGCTGGCTAGGGCAAGGCAAGGCATGTAAGTGTGAGCCCTGCGAGGCGCCAGCTCTGCCCATGGTGAAGCGTGCTCTCTGTTGGAAGCTGAGACTTTCTGCGCATTCGCAAGCGCAAGGTTTCAGAAGTTCCTGCTTCGGAGACTCATGTCAGGCGTGGGCTGCAACTATCCGAGCAAAGCCTTCGGTTTGGCAGGAGCTGTGTGGCGCTTAGCTGCACGCCAAGGTTCTCATGGGATATGTTGGCCATGAAAGGTCAACGACGCCTTCCTGATCGCAGAGACCCTTCAGGCACTACCTGAGGACATGGATAAGGATACGACTGTTGATGAAGCTAACCACGACAGCGACACACCGTTTCTTGTTTTTTCATGCCTGTGCAAGAGGCGCATCTGGGATTCCGGCATGAAAACACGTGCGTCCTCCACGACGTTTATCCGGGCCAGAAGAAATCCCTGAAGGCTTCAGTCTCAAGTGCGGCATGTCCGCAAGAAATTGTCCTGCAGCATACAGAGTCTCAATATGGTGCAGGTGGAACCAGCAAAGTGCCCAACTCGAGTTAACATACTGCACCAGCACCGCACTCAGATGTGTTTGTGAGGTGAGACTCGGCACATCGCAGCACTGCATGATTTCGACACCTGGGATCCTGAGGTTGCATCAGATGGTCCGCTCAGCAAGACCGGGAGATATGCTCTTCTTCTCCTTCTCTGGATATGGGCTGCAGGTGTTCTTGGGTGCTTGCACTGCAAGATCACGTATCAGTCGTCATGTGCGCCGCGCATGAATCAGGAAGATTCTGACTTGAATCGTTGTTTCATGAACCCAACGATATCATCGCTGTGCACCATGGGTGTCCGGCACTTTTCGCTTTGACCAATACTGCCTGCCCGTGGTCCATGGACTATGTTGCAGAAGGTCGACTCCAGTGGAGAAATGGGGGAATAATAAGTTCCACGCCAAAGACTGCGCGCCTGAACTGTGCGAGCCTGTACCTTCAACTTGCATGCAAGGCGAGATCCGCAACCCACCGGAATCGTAGTAAACTGGTGCAAGCAGTGAGATGCACGAATTTCCTCACTATACACGTGTTAAACCTGGACCTGGCTTGACCGAGCTATTCACAGTCGCTTCAATTTCAACAACTCATCAGGTGCCACGGTGGTTTGCAATGGCTTGTTTTGGCTTCCTGTTTACGCGGTCGGGCTACTGCGGGTAGAGTAGGGTTCATGCGGGTTGCTAGTTGTTGATGCTAGCGATGGGTTATATTGTTGATGGCCCGTTCTCATGATGACGACGATGAAGATGCAAAGCTACGGCTCTTTGAATGACTCCAATGACTATGTCGACCAGTATGTGAGGGCCTTCATGCATAGATGCAACTGCAGAGCAACCAGCCATCGCAGTTTGGAAAACCTAGTCAAGCCATGCTAGAGTCCGGCGGCACAAGTCGAGCAGCAAGAGAGAGAAAAGCCCCACGAGCGAAGTGCAGTGCGGAATTCGTACCAGAAGTATGCTGTCCTTCTCACTTCTCGCTTGTCTCAGCTTTTTCCGAACGCACAACATTCAGAAGCCCAAACATTTGAATTTTCAGCACAGCCCCAAATCCACTGCTGTAAGATTCGGCGGCATATCTAGCCATGCTGCTACCTTGTTTGCGGCGTTGACATCCGCCCATATCCGCCCACCCCGCCCGAGTGAGGGGGTGCCAAGGTAGGGCACCAGGCATGCCCATGAATGTTGGAAGCTGCGGGAATTTGTGTCCACGGCTGGCATGGGCATTTTGTGGGCATTCTGTTTTCTTGTCAGTTCCTGCCGCGATTTGGTGCTTCGCGCCTGCCCAACCTAACGGATGCCAAATGGCTGGGCACACTGCCAGAGCTTGTTAATCGTGTAATGCTGGCTCGGCAAGGTCCATGTGTCCGCGATCCATATCTGCTGAAGCAGCACGTGCCCTGTAGCTTCATGTTTGCATCATTTTAGACACCACATATGGGACCACTTTATGGACCCATGGCCTTTCCGCTCGCCCCTACCCCATCCTACCGCCTCTCCCCTCCAATTGGTCATTACTTGATCGGCTCGCAGGTGGATGATATGGATGGTTTCCAGGATGAAGGAGTCGAAGAAGCCATCCTTCCAACAGACTTTGTCGATGGCCGTGATGGCGATTACAGCGTCATTTGCACAAACGACCTTCATGATGTTCCGAGCTCAGGGGTTAGATTGCACAAACTCAATGCATCCGGCCAAGATAACATAATATGTAGCCGGAGTGCAGCTGGATTGCTTCCGGTGCACATGGTGTCACGAAGCGGAAACTCATGACTGTTGGTCTAGTGCCTGTAGGCTACGTTTCGGTTCGTGTGATTGGCAGCCCATCAACGTGACAGGGTTTTGCAAGCAGCCGATACCACCAGTGATCACGAGTGCCTTAAGTAAGTAAGGTCTTGCTGGGTGTTCCTGCCGATGTTGTCGTGACAGCGGTGATGGCCAAAGCCTTGGCGACTGTTACGGTTGAAGCTGTTCTTGCGCTGCCACGTTTTTGCGATGTTGCAGGACTGCGACCATGCTACCACGCTGATAGACGTGAGTGGCACAATCGACGGCTCACTTGTAAGTGGACTAAAGTTCAGTGACTTCTGCGGCCTGAAGGCAGGTAGGATTTTTCCGGACACTCGGTGACATGTCATACATATACCCGCAATCATCATGTGATTCGACGGGGTCCCTAACTTTCTTCTTTGATGCCATGGTATGTGCGCAGGCTCATTCAGCCAAAATGGATCTCGCAAGCCACAATCGTGACGTCTGGCAGGTCACAAGTGTTCACAATTCAGACCGTGGATGAACAGCGTCAGCTTGCTTTCTGCAGGAAGAGAAGGCTCGAAATGTCAAGGCCAGGCCGCGATTTCAGCCGGTCCGGACTTTAGCTCGTCTTGGTCACAGACATTGGACAGCTTAAGGCTGAAGGGCCGAAGTGTGCTGACGTGCTAGGTCATGGAAATCGAAAATCCGCGCAAGGGAAGGTGTGCGATCGGAGAGGTAGAGCATCAATGTGAGCAGATTCTGATTGACTCTCGTCAGAGCAAGGTTGCCGACGCGACCAGCAATGTCACGATCGTCGTCAATAGCTTTCTGTTACACGGCCGCCGGTCATGGGCAGACGGCTATGGAAATGACTTGACTGGCATGTCTGACGCTGTCGCTGCTTGTTGTTCTCCTGTCGGCCACACTCATCCAACAAACAGCCAGGCAAATGTCCATGCCCAAAGTTGACGGGCAAGACCAGGCAACTAAGCAGCACGGAGTGGGGCACTCAGAGGGAGAGCGAGAGAGAGTGTGACACCAGCTTGCGGAAATAGCTCTGAGAGCCAGCACAGTGTGCAGGACTCTCACTGAAGCCATCGCTGTGACATGGGCTTGGTGTCAGGGGGACGTCTCCCCTGCTTGACCCACCACTTCTCGGCGTTTCGCCAGGTAAGCCCGGGTCTGTCTCCCCAACCAAAGGGCTTGCCATTGTTGCTTCATCATTGACTTGTCGTCCTCATTGCGAAAGCGCTGGCTTCCCGCCCCTGCTTGTTTGGTTTGTTCGAGGTTTCCCCGCGATGCCATCGACTGCTGCTGCTGTGTCCTCCTCCTCCCCTCCTTCCTCATCATCACTGCTGCTGCTTGTGCCGTCCTCCCTGGCATTCCTCACCCAGCTCCGGCTCCGAATTGGCACTCAGTCAGGGCCTGTGCCGGCTTGTCGGTGTTGTCGGGGCTAAAAGGTCGCTCCGGCTTTGCCTCGGCGGCTGCAAGTCGCTGTGGACAGTCCGCTGGTGCCTGTGTTTCGGGCGTTGGGTGTGTCGCATCAGGTTGTGGTGGTAGTTGGAGTCATCCAGTGGCTGCGCTCCTACCATTGGGCCACCGGCTCATTTGATGGGAGGCCATTCGGCCCTGTGGCATAGTTGACTCGCGGCACCCGCAACATGCGCGAGCGCGCTTGCACGGGCAAAGGGGTCGCTCCCCTTTCTTCACGCTTCGATACAGGTTATGTCAAAAGCTATAATGTTGGGGTTGTAATAAAGTACCCCCCCCAACAGGTTGTTTAGGGTCTCTTGGGGTGGCTTTTTTTTTGTCTTTTTTTTTTGGGGGGGGNNATAAACTTCTGGCCGGGTCCGGGGTCCGTACTGATAGTAAGCTTTTTCAGTGTAGTAGTAGTAGTAGTAGTCGTCGTCGTGGTGGTGGTGGTGGTAGTAGTAGTAGAAGTGGTAGGGGTAGTGGTAGTGGTAGTCACGCAGAGACCTCAAAAGTAGCTGCTGCAGTTCCTGGAATCCTGAGTCCCTGGCTTCATGCCAAAGCCCGCACCCCTGGTCCACCAAAGCCTTTGGCTTGACGCCCATTGCTTCTTGCTTTCTGAGTAGCTGTCTGAAGAAAGCCTTGCTTCCAGGACCCACCGGTCCCGCAGGAGTATATTATTGTCACCCATTTATTCTTGCGATCAGGAGCGCTCGTCAGGGATACCCTTGCCGGCTTTGTGAAATGGCTCCGTTTGTAAATGGTTCTAATCAGGCAGAGGCCTCAATAATAGCTGCTGCAGTTCCTGGAATCCGGAGTCCCTGGCTTCATGCGAAAGCTTGCAGCTCTCGAAAGCTTGGAGCTTCTGTCGGATCTGCTCTGCTTCCCAGGGGGTGGAGTGAAAAGTCTCTGGAACAGCTCTCTGCCAGCTGGGTTTAGGGTCTAGGCTTCTCTTTCCTTCTCTCTAAAATAATAGGATTTTCCTCAAATCAGGCCATAATTTTTTGGGGAGTAACCCCTTTATCAATACCACCGGAATCCTAAGATCAGTTGTTTGGGCTGATCTGCGGAGCGCAATCTAGAGTAGTCTTCCTCCGAGAAAGTCTGGGCAAGGGAATATTTGAATTGTCACCCTGTTTATTCGTGTCACCCCTACATTAGTTTCCCATACCTCCGCCCTCTTAAGCAACATAAGCAACCCCAGCAGGGTTGCCGTAACATGCCAGTTGTACTGTAGGCTTGCATGATTGAAATGAATTTACAATGCGCCGCAAAATCCCGCAACCACGTTTAGTTTTACTTTGAGGGATTTCGAATTTAGGAGGAAGCGATCCAGGATGTCTTAAAATGCAGTGTGCACTGATGCACTTTGTGTTGTTTCGCGGTTGAAAACCACAGACCAGTGGGAGCCTAAGTACAGACACGTTCGGACAGCCGACGATCGTGGAGGCGATGAGCAGCCAGAGCTACCCAGATGACCCGCAGCACTGGGTCCATCTGAAAAACCGCCACATTCCTCGCCCCGGTAACGCGCGCTTCTGGAAGCAGCCCATGTAGAAAACTCGGTAGCAGAAGCCACTGCAGTAGCTTGAATGAGGGAAACGCTTCTGTGACTTCGTGCATATAAAAGTTGTGGATTGATTTTAACGCTACGCCGCCCGCCTCGGCTGCTGAGGGGCAGGGGGCACGGGAGACACGTTGGTAGCGTTGGTGCATGTTTGCAGCAGAAGCCCTGAGATCGTGGGAGGAAGACAGCAAGTAGACTTCCTCAAGATTGCCTTAGAGCCTGCAGAGTAGTGCAAGCACGGCGGGCGGCAGCAAGCCACATAACAGTCTGGAGGCGGGGATGGAGGAGGCCAAAAAACAGACAAAAATGAGGGTATGGTTTGTTGCATTCCTAAGTTATGCGTTTGAGTCCGAATGGAGCGAAGCG